CCACTTGGAAACAGCTTTTGTGGCGCTACCAAGCGCATCAACATGGGCGCATCACAATAACCAACGCTAACAAAACTATTGGTGGCCTAACGTTCGACGGATACTTAGAAGCGAGATGAGAGCCGTTTCCTAGCATGTCCTGAATAGACGAATGTTAGGTATCCTGTCGGTAGGGTCGAACTCTCAGCTTTCGATATGAAAAGGGGTTGCTTGTTTTCTACCAGCATAAAAACTATTAGTTAAATAAAAATAAGACCCTAGATTATAAACATTTGGAAAGGCAGAAAGTTCAGGTCATTTTCTGTTCTGCCTTAGTCTTCCTATCTCCTATATTTTTCGAGCTACTTTTGTCTATGTCGCTAAACAAAATAGTCAGAAAATTTTAAGAAATGAAATCCGAAAAAAGTTGCCTGGTCACTTTAATTGATTGTTCCTCAAAATTCCACTAAAGATATTGATTTAGAACGAAGAGAGAAATTCTGTTTTACTATTGCAGAGAATTGTAATAAAATCTGCGGAACATAAAATTGGTACTTCGCAAATGCTAGCCAGTTAGTTTTTAGAGCTGATTTCTCAAAATGCGTTGTCGTTCAAACTCAACAAAAACGAAATAGCAAGAATAAAGTTCTCTCGGGCTGCATAATTTTACGCAGCGTTTCAGGACAATACGCAATACCTAGGTAATGGCAGCGACAGCTACACGGAACTTTATCAGAGGATCCGAGAAAGTAACGGTGAGTCAAGTGATTGGAAAACGGCATCCGAGAAGTGCATTTCGCTGGTTGAATATTTAATGCCGCATGCTACCGGTAAGCCGTCTGGCGCTGATTCAGCAGATTGGCCAATGTGATGCTTTATGCATTAATCATCGCTACGTCTTAGTTCGGCCCGGGCAAGGCAATGCCCATCCGAAACCCTGTCAAAAGTGGCGCATTTAGAGATAGGAAAATTCGTTATATCATAAGCTGCGGTGACGCAACCAAAAGATCCTCTGACATAGGCATCTTTGGTTAAAAAAGAAACCCAAAACTGTTGCAAAAGATCTCCAAGACTTAGCCAAGAAATCCCAAATTTAACTGATGCAGCGCAGAAAATTTACTCGAAAGGAGAATCAAATCTGAAAGTGTTAGGCAAAGCTGAAAAACCCATAAACACGGGATTTTTTGCTGAAACGCGAAACTGATATAATTAAGTAAAGGAAGCCTAAAATAGGAAGAACTGTCAACGAGAGAGTACTATCCAGACGAACGCGTTTCGCACTGCGTCTCATCTGTGAAATATTAGTTAGGTTAGTAATTTTCAACTTGGGGTACAAGGTCCCCCAGGGACAGCGAAGTCAGACAAACAAGGGACGAAGTGAGAAGAATAGCATTAAATTTCCATCAAAATTTCTGTGGAAAAATCGGCAAAAAATTCACACTTAGGACGAAAAAGAACCACGAAAGCGCCATTTGAGCGAGAAGAGCGTTATTGATATCATTTCAAATCCAATCAGAATCACTGCAATAAATATATCATAATAGGTGTGTGTGCGTTTGTGTGTGTGTGTGTGTGTGTATATAGATTAACTATTCCCCCATCACGCCAAATTTGAAGACCGTTTATGAGAAAACTGAAATAAATATTTGATGCGGTCTTGTAATTTATCTTCAACTAAGCCTCGCTGAGCAACAGCTGCAAAAAGTATTAAAAAAAGGAGCTGCG